TTTATGTCTACAATTGCTGGGCCAAACGCCTTTTGTTATAGTTTGAACATGGTGTTGATGTTGGCACAATGATAGGGGCGTGTCGAAGCATTGGCATTGGGTGCTAAAAATTTCGATGCTGGCCGGCGGCCATGGGTTAAGGGTTACAGTTTTGGAGGACTGCCTGTGTGTATGTTGACTGGGAGCGCTTCCTGCGGGGCTGATAAGGCTCTGAATCAGAGGGGCTTGTTGAATCAGGCAAACCCTTTGTGTGTATATGTCATATGCTCCATATCAATTCGACGTTCTTTTTTTTTTATTTTCGCCAGCGAAGAAACAAACAACCAACAATAACAACGAATTTGTTTTGTTTCGCTTCGTTTCGCCTTTAAAAAAGCATAAAAAAAATAAGAATAAGGGAATAACCCCATCCAGGCCCATCCATATATGTTAATCATCCATTCAAAAAGTTTTCAGCTCATATAACATCACAAGAGAATGCGTTCTCAGGGAGTGGGCTATATGTGGCCTGGGAATCGAATGCACTTTGAAGACCCATTCCGAAAACAGTGGCACCCCTTGATCCAAAACGTCTGGGGTTTTCCTTCTTTTTTTCCCATCCCCCCCAGCATGTCGTCTTCTTTTTTTGAGTTATATTTCACACTGTCTGATGATGGCAAGCCCAAAAATGAAATCAATTTACACACCCCAACTGTGGCTGTGCCCTGTGTCTGGCTTTTGTGTGTAAAGAGATCTTAGCGCCTAAGTGCATCAATTGACGCGCTTTTCAGATGGAAAGTTCCCCCAATTGCATTAAACAAATTGAAAATGCTTCGAGACCAAAACGAGATGCTAAGCAAAGTGAAAGCATTTCCCCATTTAAAGTATAAATTCTATTAAAAATCCCAACTTTTTCCTCGCTGCCCGTGACATTTTTTGTAATTGAAATCTGCGGTCACCAGACCTCAGCCCTATATTATATATATATCGAGAGAGAAAGAGAGAGAGAGAGAGAGAAAAATTAATAAGCCAAATAAAATATCGCCTAGTCTAGATGGATTGATCCCAGCGAAAGCAATTTATCAAGTGGCAAGTGAGAGGGAGAAGAAACCGAATTGAAAAGAAATTAAATATATGTAAGTATATACAAATAATGGGAGGTCTGAGTCAGAAAAAGATATAGAACCAAAACAGGATGGGACTCGGAAGTGGAGGAGGCTGTAGGCCTGCAATGATAATGATTGATGGCTCTGCAGGCTAAAGGAATTTTGTTGTTGCTCTTCCAGCTAACTGATAAAAAAGAAATACTTGACTTTTTATATTTATATATTATATATAAGATATATATACATTTCAAAGAAGATGAAAGCAGAAATGAGAATTTTTTTTCAAGCCGAGATAAGTTTGTTCCTTGGCTGTCTTTATCGAGTTCTGAATAGGGAAAAACAGAAACTTGAAATAAATATGAAATATTAATGAGAATGTGGGAGATGATAAATGTGGCATGTTGCAAGGAGTGGGTCTTAAAGATTTGCGCCTCATTTGAGGGGTTTCGTTTTCATCTTCTCTCAGGGTTCAAGGTTAACTGTCACTAAATGACTCACCAAAAGATACAGATACATATATATACAGAGAGATAGAGAGTGAGAGAGAGTGAGAGAGATATCCCTGATGGTTATTATGACAAATTGATTACATGTAATTTGGTGTCTCTCTCTGTCGGTTCCTTTGATTAGGTGCCAGCTGAAGAGACTCCACAACTTGCTTCCGAAAATTTGTCTTATTTCTGTTGATTTATATCTTGGCCAACATAGTTTGTCTCCCCTTCAGCTTCTTTGGCTTTTCTTTTGCTTGCTGTATGTGCGTCTGTCTGTCTGTCGCTTTTATTTGATTTCAGCTAAGATGATTTCGCCTTAATGCATTGAATCGGGCCAAACAGGAAACCTTTGAAGCAGCTTCCCTGCTGCCCCAAACATTTCGTTTTTATTTGGGGCCAATTGAGGGAAGTGGAAGCTGCTGCGGAAGAAAACGGCCAATATATATATGTATACAGTTATAAATTAAATTTTTCATTCTACTTACATTGAACTCCCTCCTTCAATTTGGTGTGTTTTTATTTACGGTAAATTTCATTTCGATTTCTTTTCCGATTTCTTACGTTCTCTCTCTCCTGTCGTTTTTTTTGGCTGAATCGGCTGTCTGCACTCCTTGAGACGGCCAACGACTTCGAATACCAACTGAATGGCCAATCAATAACATTGGGCAAGACATGCAGCCCCCTTCTCCTAACCCCCTCCTAAACCCAACAAGAAAAAAGAGACTCTCCTGTTTACCCCTCCGACTATCGAACACTCTAAACACCAATTGATGTTTATATGATAATGATTAATGACTACGTTACTTTTACACAGATTGCTTTCCGAATGGCTTTGAACACACTTTTTGTGTGTGTGTGTGTGTTTGTTGTGTATTGGAAAGCCTATTTATTTATAGGCCCAATACAAAAGGCCATTTTCCTTAGCTTGGCGCCTAGATCTTCGAAATGTACCCCCATTTCCTCTCTCATTTCCCGGCTTTTGACAGAGTTTTAGTTGCGTTTAGCTTAAGTTTTTCTTTTCTTCGTATTTTATTTGGCGCTTCTCATTACCAGACATTCATCAATTGTTGGCAATTTGTTTGCAAGTAACCGAGGCTGCTTGTCTTTGTCAGTTAGCCGTAATTCATCTGGGTTATCCAGGGGTATTTGGCCAGAAAGGATGTGAAAGGTTTGGGTTTAGCAGTAAGGTAAACAGTAAGTTAAATGGGTCTCTTAGACTAAATCAAAATTGTAATAGGTTCTTAGATCAGAGAAGTATTAAAGTAACTCTAAGGCTATATTCATTTTAGTGGTATACATTTTCATTTAATTTTAAACACCTTTCACTCGAAACTTTCTTTTAAGTGTATCTCCTCTTTGACTTCTCCAAAAGTAACAGTTTTTCCTTTGCCTTTTTTATATTCCTGGTGCCTGTCTAAGCAACTTGTAACCGTTACTAATGATGACAACTTATTTTGGCCTAAATGCTCGGCCAACACTTTTATTGGTTTTTGTAATTAATGATGCTGGCCAAAAAGTGCGGAAATGACTTTGTGGTTTGCCCAGAGGTGTTTGGACACACCTTCAGCACCCCTAAAAAAGGAAAAACCTGAATGGTTTGGAGTTAAGTTTCCATTAATCAAATGCACTGATTAGAGAGTTGCAATACGGCATTTTGGGGGGAAAAAGTATAAGAGCAAAGAGCAAAAGTCCTGGCTTCGACTTTCATGGGCTGGTGCTGTCGTCCGATTGTCACAGTTGTCAGTCAGTCAGTCAGACGGGCACAAATTACACTCGTGGCAATTAAATTAGGCAAGCAATTAGGCAGGCCAACTGGCGATGGAACTGGCTGGAACAAAAAGGGTTGCACATCGGGAATATCGATGAGCTCAAATTAATCAAAGGCCGAAAGTAATCATTGAGTCGACATGGCCAAATGGAATGTCAGCCTTCTTTTCCTCCCTTAAAAAAAAAAAAAAAAGCGAAGGCGTGGCACTTTCCGTTGGCGTTAATTGCTCGGCATGTTCTTCATCTCCCACTTTCTGTTATCCTTTGCCTCCTATCCTTTGTTCTTAATTTCTTTTGGCTGTTGCGCCTTTTTACAATTTCATTTGTAATTTATCATTGTTTGCCTTCGCTTTCGGGTTCCTTTCCACTTCAGGATCCGGCCAAGAAAAAAAAGGGTTCACCCCGCCAGATTCACTTTACTTTAGCATTTAAATATTTTATTGAGTGCCTCAAATTGTTAATTGTTTTTTGATGGGCCAAAGGGGGAGAGAAGTGAAAGGGGCTGAAAAGGGGAAAAAAGGTTCTCCCTCGAGCCAAATCGATTCTAATTAGGGATTGTGTGTGGCAATATCCATATCCGAGCAGGGTGATCCACGATTTTTGCCTCCATTTTCCTTTCGGAAACCCTTCTTCAAGACTGTAACCGAGTTAGCCAAACCCTTTGGCGAGTTGTCAGCCAAGTTTGTCAATTGAGTTAATTTGAGCCTTTGCTTTATGCATGCCTGATGCGCTCTTTCGTGGCTTATCCTTAGCTCACCCAAATGCTCGTCCTTTTTCGCTGGCACAACACATCAAAGAGCAGCCAGTGGCCGCTGCCGCCGCCAGACAGGTGAAAATGAAAATGTTCTGCGACTCCTCGCATGGAACTTGATCAAAGGACAACACGCAGGCTACAAACTTTTTCAACTCTGAGTTAGAAAAAAAAAAGGTGAGAAGCATTCGAAGAATTCATAATGAAGCCACGATGACGTTTTAACTTTTGGCTGACTGACGGAGAAGGAACCCCTCTTCGCCCTCTCAGAAATGAAACCCAACCGTGGCAATATGTTTGGGGTTTTGCCGCGCTGACAGCTTTTAATAAAAGTTGCTCCCTTTTTTTTTCTGGATTTTCATTTTGATTTTCCAGACAAGCGACGCAGCTACTTGAGGCTCGTTTGGGTGTGTGTGTGTGTGCCGCTTCGGGGGCAACCCTTTTTTACGGCTGCCTAACCAAGTTTTGACCTTCTTCATGTGACATATTTTTAAGTAAGTTGTCAAATTATTTTCACTGTTCTGCACAGCAGCAGGCCAAATGAAATTATGTTTTTTTTTTCTCGTTACCCTTGCGGTTTTTTCCGGGATTCCTGCGTTTTGTTTGCGCGGGAAATGGGAAAAGTCAAATGCTGATGAGGACAAAGGCTAATAATGAAAACCTTTTTGTAATCGAATACCCAAAAAGAGGAGAGTGAAGCAAAGCAGAAAGACAACTCACCCTCGGTGAAATGTGACTCCTGTCAAAGGAAAAGATCAACCTAAAACTGCAGTCTCTCTACCCAATCGATCCCAATCAATCGCCTTTTCTCTTTGTTTACACTTATCTTTATACCAAAAAAAAGAAGAAAAATATACAGAAAAACCAGTAACTAATTACAACCTTTTTTTTCTTGTCTCATTGCAGGTAATTCCTTCAGACCATAATCTCCACCAGAATGATGCACAACTTCATGAAAACTGCCAGGGTGAAGATGATCAAAATCAGGGTCTTGCTGGGTCTCTCTAATTCATATTCACACTCTTTGCTTTTCCCGGACATTTTGTAGATTTTCCGAAATTTTCCAGATTATTCAATGACTTTCGGTTTCGGTTACAGTTGCCAGTTTTTGAGTTGTGCGTCAGAGAGATTTTCACCACTCAAAGTGTGAAATGCGTTGCCAAATACAAATGTAAAGCGGCGTCAGCAGTGAAAGCCGAAAGCATCGGGCAAACAAAAGATCCATTTGAATGCACATTTGTGTGCCGCAGCAGCTGCAGTTTCCAAACGCCACAGGCAGCCATGGAGATTTTCACACATCCTCTCGACAGGCCATCACCAAATTATGGCCCAAAACGCAGTGCGCCCGCCATACGCAAATTATAAACCTCCTCCTCACCATGCCAGCCAACGATAAATACCTTTAAGCTTCTGTTTGGTCATTGGCCAACAGCATTGGGGGGGGGATAAAAAGGGTTAAACAGGTAAAATACAAATCCATGGCTCCAAACGCGGCTCCAGAGATGTTTAAACAGTAGTTTCTGTTGGTTTTTCTCGCTCTGCGAGTGACGGGCAGCTCGGACCGCTTGAGCTGATCTGAGCCATATGTTGTGTCCGACTTGGCCTATACCCCTCGTTTTGTTTTTTAGCCTTGCTGCTTGCTTAGTCTTTTTCGTGTTGATGTTAAGTGTTTTTCTTTCGGTTTTTTGTGTATGTGTCGTCGTGTCGTGTTGCCTCAATTTGTGTTTGGCTAATGAAAATACCTCCGAGAAACAGACAAGCAGCCAGTAAACGATTTACGATATTCGGGGCCAGGCATTTTCACTTGCCTCGACGACCGCCGAACATTCCACAGCAAATGACTTCATTGTGCCCCGGTTCGGGGCAGTAGCACTACTACTACTACTTGTTGTTGTTGTTGTTTTTGTTTTTGTTTTTGTTTTTGTTCAGCTATAAATTCGCAAGACCGCAAGACAATGGGCGCCCAGAGCTGAGATCTCCGCCACTACAGTAAGTACAACAAGCCTCTGAATCTGTCTGTCTGTCTGTTGGAGTCTGTTGGCTGGTTTACAACGTTCCCTCATTCACTGCGATGACTTCGACGACTACGAGACGATGATGATGATGATGCGTTCGTAATGGAATTCAATGCATTTAATGGAAATTTTCGCATTTACATAATCGATGGAGGGCAGGCACATCAACAGTGAGAGCAAAAAAATATAAGCTCGCACGCAAATTAAGCAGCTAGGGCAAGTGGTCTGTCTATGAGGAGAGTCCACAATCTCTACAGTCCCTGACCATGCCAACTCAATTTGCTTGCCACCACCCCCCTGCCTGCTTCTCCCTCTCAACATGCAACATTTGCATTTTGCTTGGCTTGTTCTTGCTTTTGTTGTTTATGTGCTTAGATTAAGACTATGGGTATGTGCTAGTGCAGGTCTTGATTTAAGATACTTGCTTAATGTGTAATTTAGTGCATTTAGATAAGTTGCATAGTGAATTTTTGATGTGTGTTGCTGCCGTTCTGTGGCTTCGCCCAACACACATAACACATCGCAAAGGGAATTTAATGCATTGTCTTGCATTTCTGCATTTTGCATTCTGTGTCTGCATGCTGCCTGCTGCTGCTGGAGCTGGTGCTGGTGCTGATAATGCTTTTGTTTATTTAACGGCGCTAAGTGCATTGGTTGCATTTGCATAAATCGCTCGGTGGTTGCACGCCGTAGACCCATCGCTGGCTGGAGATGGAGAGTGTGTGAGTATAGAAGGAGAGCTGCGAGTGTAACCCGACGCATTAAACAATTTGTGGCATTTAACAGTCGTTACAATATTGAAAAAACAGCTTACAGTTAACCCATTGGTAAGGTTTTTAAGGTCTTTAAAGGAAGCTAAAAACTTATTTTAAGTTTCCAGTCAAAAACGTTTATAAACTTTATATTCGTAAAGATATTTTGAGTAAAGTTTATTTGAAGTTTAAATATTTTAAGTTATATTAAAACATGGGTTAAACCACTGCTATCGATAGCTTGTTTCAGCAACAAGGGTATCAATGTTTTTATGCGTCCGACGCGCTGCATGTGTGAGCGTTAATCACAAAAGCCAATATGCAGCTGAAAGCCGTTTGTTAATGCGTTATGCATTGCCACACTCCACATAAAAACCCCCCGTTGTCGTTATATTCCCCTACCCGCCTCTCATATCCAGTTGCGGTTTTTTCCACCGCTTCTCACCCATTGTCATGGCATTAAATCCCGCAGAAAATTCCTTTCTGGCTGGCCAGGCTGTGATAAATTACACAACGGCACAGGCGATGGACAGAGACTCGCATTTAATAAATAAAAATTCCATTATGGACACTCAATGCCAGCCTCAAGCTCAATCAAATAACAAAGAAACTCTCGCTGTGTGAGTGAGTGGCAGTGGTGTGCGGCACTGCTGTGTGTAATAAATGACGTTGCACCTCCTGGTGCCAAGTGGGTTTTTGGGTCTGCAAAACTTCATTTCAGCGATCCAGGGACAAGCTTCTTGTCAATTGCCGAAACATTTTTACATAAATATATAGGTTTCACTGTAGTAAGCATTGGCGCCATATCCAAACGCCCACAATGTCCCAGCTTTTTGTTGCATCATCGGGCAAGCGGCAGCAGCAGCAGCAGCGTCAGCGGGCATGCAACAATTGTGCCTATGCAACCAAAAAAAAATATAAAATCCTGTTTTTGCTAGCCTACTGCTGTGACGTTGCTGCGCCGTTGCTGGTGTTGCAGCCACAACATGCTGTAATTAACCCGTTTGTCATGCAAATAAATCAAAAGTAACATCCCTCATACCCGCTGGCCATGGCAAAATGGTGCCGGGGAAAATGTGTTAAATGCGATTTCAACTGCATTTTGAGTGCATTTTCCGTGTTTTACGAGAGCAATGAGTTGCCCAGCCAATGCTGCAGGCAGTCAAAAATCTCATTTGCCAAAAACCACTTGATAGTGGAATGTGTGATTTTTTGTTTTGGTTTTTTTCCGTTTCGTTTCGGTTTTCAAAAGATTTTCCCGACGGCGATCAAAATTTTGCGGTTGGCAAGAAACCAAAAATTTGCACACTCCCTAAAATCTGAAAGAGGCACAAATTAATTGCAACAAAATGCGTTAAATGCCTTACGGATTTATCAAGTGGCAAAGGGGAAATTAGTTGTTCTTTCTTATTTTTTCGGCAGGGAAAAACGTGCTGGGAAGCGTTCTTCTCGATCCGTGTGCACAATCCGTCCGTCGATCGAGTGCAATTTAATGCCTCAATTTTCACCAACAATTTCAGCTGGCTGCCAATGCTACGTGCGTTCCCCAAAAATAGCCGTGTATATGTTTTTCTTTTACTTTGTATTCGAATTGTTTGGTTTTTTTTTGTTGGTTTTCGTTTTCGATTGCTGTATGTTGTTTTTGTGTGTATTTTGGCTTCCTTCGTGTGGTTTCTTTTTTTTTTTTGGGGGGGCTAAAGACAAGTTCCGCGAGCGCCAATTTTGGCCTAAATGGCAATGAACTTGAACGTCGTCGCGTGGAAGTTTCTTTGGCGCCCTGCGATTTGATTTTGAGTTTTTTTTTTGGTATTTCGTGTTGCTTGTTTTTTGTCTTATTTCGTCTTGTGTTTATCTTTGTGTCGTTTAGCGTTCAGTTTTGGTCACGCGATGCCGTCAGGCGTATCAATTAGCCCAAAAGAAAAATGTGTTATTAAAGGTAAGAGTGAGTGACGGGGCAGGGCCGTCGAAATTGGTTGTTTGTCTGACTGATAGACGGACAATAAATTTACATTCATTTTCCCTTTTTGAAATGGGTCAAAAGACTTATCTTCAAGTCAGTTCAAAAAGGAAACTCAAATTTACACAAAAACATGATATATCCACACCATATCTATACCTCTCTACCCCCTCAAACACACCAACAACTTTCACGTAACGCACAGTTCTCACCTAATAAAAACTGACGAAGACATTTTCCTCGTGCTGACAGAATAGCAAGCAAAGGGAAAAAAGTTGCCAAAATGTTTGCTAAAAAAGAAGAGGTGATGTATGAAGATGGGCGGTGAGGAGTTTTGGCTGGAAATGGGGGCGTGACAGCGTGAAGTGTAGCGTAATAAAATGCACACAATTTACGCAATTTACGTAAAGCTAAAAAACATAACAGGCAAACAAGGACAATAAAGCCTGATGGAGGGGGGTGGGTGAAAGTAAGTAAAGGGGGGGCCTTGAGAGGGGTTTTTGGGCAAGTCGAAGGACGAAGAGCAAAGGCACTTAGCGCAGCTCACACACACACACATACGTCTACTGATGATGGCGGCACTAAATACAGTTGCTGTTGGTGTCCTCATGTTGCTGCTGTGCTGTGCGTTCGCTCAATTCCTTTGCCGCAGCAGCTCCTTGCTGTTCAAACAGTTTTCAACGCGTTTTTCGCATTTTAACAGCCGCCATTTTGTTGGCATTTGTTTTTGTTGTTGTTGTTGCATTTGCCGGCTTTACGCTGTCATTGTCATGGCTGTTGCTGTTGCTGTTGCTGCCGTTTTTGCCGCTGAAATGTTTCTCTATTTGCTAGAGAGTTTTGTTTTGTTTCACTTTTGGGTGCTTTTTTTTGGTATATGGTCCTTTGGTGGTTCTTTTTTGTACATTTTCTTTTAGCCAGCATGTTTCGAAATTCAATTTTCGTCAAGTTGGCAACAGGCACATGAAGACAGCCAGTTGATGTGGGTGGGCCAGGAGCTGCTAGTGTTGCTGTTGCTGCTGCTGCTGCTGCCTCCTCCACTTGTGACAAGAGCAACATTTGTCTATGTCGAGCTGCGACGACATGCAATAACTTTAACTGATTTTTCTCACACACACACATGAACCTACAGCTGAGGACGATGCCTGTAGAGTATTTATAATTCTATTTATGTTTCAATATAGGGAGTCCGGGCCTAGAGTGTGCCTAGGACCCTGGGAAACTGGCCACACACGAGCAGCCACTCAAAAAAGTTCACCCGTCAGGCTTAATGATAAAGTGAAAGTTTTTTCAGTTGCTCGGGCTGTGTGTGTGGCTCAGGCTCAGGGGCTCTTGCTTTTCTTGCCATCTTGTTGCACATTGGCTTTGCATGCGACACAGTGGAGTAGAAGGATGGAAGGACCAAAGGAGCTGGCAGGAAGCCGCTGCCTCCTCGGCTGGCTGGTCTGGCATGAAATCAAGTTGACTTTTCATTAACAGCTCAACAATGCCTTGGGTTTTCGGTTTGCTTTGGCTTGGCTTGGCAAGCCAAGTTAAGTTGTTTTTACTGCCTGTCATAGCGGTACTTAAAAAGCATACACAGACACACACACATGCTCATGCGGGCTCCGACAAAAGTTGTCCCGCATTAAGTCTTACAATACCCTCTCCGGCCACCCTGTCCCTAAGTTTCCCTCACTGCAACAACAGCAATTAATGCGATTTGTTCAACGTTTTCCATGTTAACTACTTGAAAGAAAACACAATTTTCGTTGGCAAGGAAAAATGAATAGATGGAAATTTTTTGTAAGGCGGACTTTGGGGTTTCCACCCAAGGGAAACGAGCCCAGAAAAGCATTTATTATTATAATAATAAATTGCTGCAAATGATGATTGACATTGAATACGTGTATGTGTGCCAGAGTGTTGGTGTTGCTGTAATTTTGCGATGTTCATCAGTAATAAAAATGACAGAAAATTGCGCATACGCAACGTTGCACGTTAACACAGTGGCGATTAAAAGGCGTTCAGCCCGGTTTAACGACCAACAACATCCCACTCACCCTCAATGTCACACACAAGATGATCTGAAATGCTCGGTTGCTTCATAAAAAAATCCCCCATTTGACGTGACCGGGATAAGGGAGCGGGTAAGCCGGAGTCTTCTTAGGCCACTTGATTAAATGAATATTCTGGCGTTGTGGCTGCGTGACTTCCTTTGGGCAACGAATGCCACCCATTACTTAATGCGGCTGGGCTGCGTCAATTTTTGGTTGCATTTCAAATGAGCTAAGCTCAGCCTAAGGGGGCCAAGAAAATACGGAATTCTCATAAATGTTTGAGAGACTCCAGCTTCTTTCTGGCCCTTCAATATTTAATGCCCTTTCGCCGAAAGTATGCATTTATTTTCGGCCACCTTTTTTCACTCGCTCCAAAGCACTCTCGCTTTTAATTAATTGAAGTTAGGCCAGTTAAAAATAGGGTTTTACTCTTTTTATTTAAGTTAAAAATGCGTAAAATCGCTAAGCGACCTTAGAAAGCTTTTAAGCAAGTTAAAAACCAAAACAAAAAACATGAAACTCAGTTAGGAATCTT